TTGGAAGGCTGAGGCGGAAGGATTGCCGGAGCCCAGCAGGTCGAGGCTGCGGTGGCCAGGAGCAGCCACTGCACTCCAGTCTGGGCGACAGAGTGAGACTTCAACTCAAAAAATAAAAAAAAGAATTCACACCTAAATGTGAATGCCTTGTTCAGACTTCTAATGTGAAGAGAATAAAACAGATGTTATTTCACTTATAAATTCAGAAACCAAAGATCAGGGTAACCGATTCAAGGTAAAAAAGCTGTTAAGTAGCTGGGCTCGGTGGCTCAGCCTGTAATCCCGCGCCTTTGGGAGGCTGAGGTGAGTGGATTGCCTGAACCCAAGGGTTCGAGACCCGCCTGGGCAGCGAGACTTCATCTCTACAATAAATCAAAAAAATTAGCCGGGCATGGTAGCACACGCCTGTAATTCCGGCTACACGGAAGGCTGAGGCGGAAGGATCGCCGGAGCCCAGCAGGTCAAGGCTGCGGTGGCTGGGAGCAGCCACTGCACTCCAGTCCAACTGAAAAAAAAAAAAAAAGCTGTTAAGTGACCACACTAGGAGCACAGAGTACCAAACAGGAGGCCAAAAGCCAAAAAGTGGAGCCAAGAAGGTGCTTGCTGGGTTCTAAAAGGAAAGAGCAGAGTATAATGATACCTGTAACTGAGTGTGGCCCAAAATGGAATTTGATGAGAAATTTGCTCTGCCCTGTACTTACTTCAAAAGATATGGAAAACTCAATTTTGTTAAGACCCTTGCTAGTAGGGAAGCTGAACTTTAGCAGGTTGGCCCCTTAAATCCATCGACCCTGCTGGCATTTACTTACACATTTATTTTTTTCATTCTTCTCTGAAGCCCTTCAGTGGCTATTGAAAACAAAGCCTACAAAGCCTAAGGTATGACCCTAGTCTTGTTCTCACTACTGCTGTCCTCCCAGTGACGATCCCAGCAACAAGAGATACTTATAGTTCCCCATTCTTAGACCATGTGTTTTTATCAGCTCTTCTGTGTTTCTGCCTGGATGCCCATTCCCATTTCCGTTTGTTTTATCTGACTTACTGTTTAATCATCATGTCTAAAAAGCTTTCTCTGAAGTCCCTCTCCCATTCCTGGGCTGGATACCCTTACTCAGTAGTGACAAATCATTGCACTTAGTCATTACCATGGACCTA